GAGACCCAGCTGATGAACTGGTGGAGACTGCCAAGTTGGAGCAGCTGGAAGATGAAATAATTGATTTGCTTGACATATATGTAAAAGCATTAAAGCCTGGTAAAAAAAATCCCAGACGTTTAAATGAGATTCATAATCAGATTGTGAAGTTTGTGCAGGAAGAAGAGATAAAGACAGACTATGAGTGCGGTGAGGTGGCGAAAGGGAAGGTGCTCTGCTCTGCTCTGCTCCATCTGATACTACACGGGTGCCCATCCTCAGACCAAAGCCAGAAGCTGAGGTGAGTTATGACAAAGGGGGAGCTACACCCAAACTCCCCCATTCTGTACCCCCAATGTCACACCAACATGAAGGGGTACTTCATTCCCCAGCTAAAAAAGATGAAAGAAAAAGGCGCCTGTGCCTGTGACTTCTGTCGAACCAGCCAGACCCCCTCTATCTTCAGTGCCTGTCGTTGTCATCCCCCAGCTAATATACGCAGGGGGTGGGCTGGAAGGCCTCAGAGGACAAGAAAGTTTCCTGCAGGCCAGAGTAAGGTGCTTCCACTGTGGGAAGTGGGGGCATGTGATAGATAGATGTCCCGAGTGGACTCATGGCAGACTGGCCCAGGGTCAACAGGGCAACCCTGGGGTATGGGGACCTATGAACAAAGGGCGGGGTCCCCCCTCTTAAGTATTCATCACTGGGACAACAATAAAAACAGGGTGAGTCATGCTGATTTTTTCAAACTCTGCTGACTGCAAGTGCTGATGTCTGGACGGTGACCTTGTGTTTCTGGCTGCACAAAACCAAGTGACTGTGGGGGCAAAGGACAAAGAAGGAGAAAAGCCGAGGCCATGGTGTATTGGTCTGGATGTGGATAACACCTTTATAAATTTATTTAGAATGTGAATGATATTATTAATGACGATTTGTTAAGAGGCATCACGTCCTGTCTGTCAAATTCACTGCACTCTTCAATATTTAAAACAAAGTTTAAAATATAGTCACACATTTGATTTAAGAAACAAAACGTTCGCTAGTGAAAAGGGAAAAAAAGGAAAAACAGCTCTTCATATGTTTTGTGGTAAATATAGACTGAGACTACGTTCACACTGCAGGTCTTAATGCTCAGATCGGATTTTTTGCCGAAATCCGATTTTTTTGCACTGTTGTTCACACTGTCATTTAAATGCAACTGCCATCTGTCTCATGTGTGAACGGTATACGGCCCTGAAGTGACCCGCACGCGCAGAAGAGGACGCG